CAGTGAGCGGACCGGTCTCTATATGGGATCCGAACCCTCGGCGGGAGTGCTGCCGCGCTCCGAAGCGCCGCACTCTACCAAGTGTGCCACCGGGCCGGCCCTCAGTGTTTCTATTTTAAGGTGACTTTATGTGAGGGTGATGAGGTAATTTAGCTGTGTTCTATTTCTGGTTAATTTATTTTTTTTTATGCTTGGCCTTCTTGGCTAAAATAAAATCTAGGATGATAATGTTTGTACTTTCTCTCGTTATGAGGATTTTAAATTTCAATTTATCTGCTCATTTTAGTAGGGAATGGATGTCCATTTGTCCTACAAAAGGCTTCTGTATTTGACTCTTATTTTAAGATTAGACCTATAACTTTGTACAAATAGCTCATAGACAGATGAAATTTTAAAACAGGCAGGGACCTTAGAAGGTCTTTGAGATCATCAAGTACAGCCCCCACATTTCTCAGATTATTAATCTGATGTCAAGGGAATAATAATAATAACTAACATTTATTGTGCTAGTATCTCCTGTAATCATTATAACACCCTATAACATAAGTGAAGTGACCTTCCTAAATTCCCATAGAAAGTGGTTCCATAACTGCTTTTAGGAATTGTTTTCTTTGTAAATGTACTTCATAATTTAAACAATTTAGTTATGTCCAGTACAGAAGAAAAATTAGTATTTTGTATTAAATTAAATATTTTCTTTACTATTTAAATTAACAAATACTAATTATTAAAACAGTTTGCACGAATTACTTAATATAGTAAAGTCACATCATTCAATATAGTTATTGTTGTTTTTAAAGAGTTCTTCCTTTCCAAAATACATGTATACACATTGCTTTAATATTTTAATAAATATGTCTATTTATACAGTGTTTTAAAATATACTTAATACAATTCTATCTTAATTATTTTCATGTTGGATTCAGTTCTGTGATGCTGAAATCCAATCCATTTAATTTTCATTGAATTTTGGAACTACTTTGTCAATGATCTGATATAAGATAAAAATGTATATATGTGTTTGTGCATATACATATACATAAAAATATATGAATATGTAATATAGCTATGTTGGTAAGTTTGTATGAGTTATATTGTAATCTTTTATTTCTTTAATTATAAGCATTTCACTAATTCTTCTTACCTTTAAATATCTGGGCAGGGGTTGTTTGCTTCTGTTAGTGCAAAGATGAAAATAAATCACTGTGTGTATGTGATAGAGATATTTGATTTGAAGGGTTTGAAATTTTCTTTTACATGTTGTATTTGTTAGATTTACATATCCTTGCTATAGACATTTTTCTTACTAATTTTAAGAACTTAGTATATCAATCACTTGTTATATGTATGTATAAGCATTTTAGCTTATAAATTTCGAATTGTATCATGTTTTAGTTTTTCTAAATTTCATAAGTTAAAACAAGCCAAAGGTTTTTCCAGTGTTAAATAGTAAATACTGTGGCATCCAATCATTTAGCATAATTTTGTGAAGGTCTGTAATGTGGGAGGAAACACAGACATGGTTCCTATCTCAGTGGATCTAGAAGTCACTATTTTCTTGATTTTTAGATTGGAATACATGTTCTTGTGTACTGGGATTGGTCCGCCTTGATCATTATTTTTAAGGAAAGAATTTGACAACTGATGTTAATCAAAACCTAACTGAATATATAATGTCGATTATACTTATTACTTTGCCACTAGATTATGAAATCCAGCACTCAGTTCTTGTTCAGTGAGCTGAGGGTTTTTTAAATTTTGTCTTGTGTTGTGTTGCTTGTTTTTATCAAAAAGTAATTGTAGTAAAATGTTCTCTAAAATCATTAGTTTTTTTCTCTAACGAAATATGCATATAACCTAAAAATTAACCTTTCTGATCATTTTTAAGTGTACTACTCAGTTGTATTAACTGTATTCACAGTGTTGTGCAGCCATCACCACTATTCCTTTCTAGAACTCTTTTGTCATCACAAATAGAAGACTTTCAAGTACTGGTTACTTTCTTTCTTTTTTGGACCTAGTCTCACCCATCTTCCAACAACCCAATATTCAATGTGATCTGCTTGTACTTATTGAACTTGTTAAGCTTGTGATTTGAATTAGAATGGTTTCTTTTGATTTGTACTTGTTTCATGTTTCTAGGTATATATGAAAATTGCATCTTCTTTCATTTACTGTAACTTTGTGTTTACTTCTTTTGGAGCAATGAGATATATACTCATGAAGTTTGACGGAGATCAAAGTAAATAATGTAAATGTATAGAATATTTTGTTGAGTAAGGGAAGAAAGATTAGGGATTAAGCACTATGACAGACAAAAAAAAAAAAAATCGGGCAGTCTCAGATACACAAGTTTCCTTCGCATCCTTCTAAATGCCTGGAGCATGAAAGATATTTGGGCCAATGATCAAAAAGAATTCAGTCCCGAAATATTGGATATGAACTGGATTTAACAGGAAGGATTATTCAGTAGAACTCTCCTCTGTGTTACTCTGTGCTCAAAGAAAAATATAGCTGTTTAAAGAGTTTTAAAATTTTATTTCTACAAAAACCCCATTCAGATTGCATTTTTTTTCTTCTGCTAAAATGTGAAATTTCTTTGGCTCCTTCTCTTCCTCATTCACAACAATCACACGCTAATCTTACACAATAAAGAAATAGAGAAATTATCAGGGAACCTTTCTCAGTAAGTTGTTTCAGTTTTTTATAGAGCAAATAAGAATTTAAGAAAATAAACATGAAAATCACTTGAATTTTAAGCATTACTCTAGTAGTATATTATTAATATTTTTTCTTGTGGTATAAGCAAAAGTATAACTTTTATCTGCATTTGTTATTCTTTATTTTTTAAAGAGTGAAACTCCTAATGAAATATATTTATTACAGCTAAAAGATGGCGGAAAGGCATCCCAGGCAAATGTAAGAATAGGCGACGTGGTTCTCAGCATTGATGGAATAAGTGCGCATGGAATGACTCATCTTGAAGCCCAGAACAAGATTAAGGGTTGTACAGGCTCTTTGAATATGACTCTGCAAAGGTAAATTGCTTTTTGTTTGGCTCTTAGAAAACAACACTGAGGAATGTGTTTTCATGTGTCTGATTCATTATGTTAACTAAAAAGCAGTTTCTACTATAAAAAATATAATGACTTGTAAATTGGATAATTGGGCAGTATGAGAGTTGCTGAAAGCTATAGATTATTTCCCCATAAAAAGGCATGTATTCACCTACTCATAAAAATTGTGTGTACAATTTCAGAAAATTCAAGAATTCCTGAAATTTCTTAGTGGAGTGCAGGCTAAGAATTCTTATTGTAGAGTAAGATTCTTGGCCTTAATATATTAGAGAGTATTCTTTTGGGGGCAGTGTTTGGCTTTCCTTAGTTTGTCTTTTTTTTTTTTTTTTTGAGTAGAAAAATAATTTTTAATATCTCATTTGAAGGGTAGATTTTTTTAACTTGTCTTTTAAAGGTTACTCTGACCTCAATTATAAAAATAGTTAATCATCTCATTTATTATAACATATCAGATATTTGGAGCATCCTAATATTTGGCCTGCATTGAAATCACCTAGAGTGCTTGTTAAAAATATTGATTCCTATGTTGAATTTAAGATTTCTAGAAGTAAGGATTAAAAAGTATATTTGGCTAAGTTCCCTATGATTATTATGGATTATAAAGTTACAGTCACTGCAGTATCTTGGGCTGAGGGGAAGGGAGGAGAAAGAGAGAATAGAGAGTGATTGAATGATAGCTCCGAACCTTTAGGTTTATAAGAAATGTAGCTTGATAATTTACCAGGTAGTTATGGAGGGTTTTAAACAAGTCCTGTTTTTGATTATTAAAAAAGTGTTCTATATTGCATCAAATTTGGAAAACACTCTTCACTGCCCTCCTGGCCCCCAATATATCATAGTCTACTGTAAATTACCATGCACATTGTGAATCTTTGAGGGGAATAAAATATGTGGTACCTTCCAAACATATTTGACTATGGAACCTTTTTCCTTGAACCCTCTCCTGGAACTAGTGTTCTGTGGAAAGCACTTTGGAAATGCTTCTCTATTCTTTGCTACTGCTGTTCTAAGGATTGCTATTTAAAGGATTTATACAGCGTAAAGTGTATTTACTTGTTTGGATGAGTATCACCTTGGTCTTATAACTGAAGAGGAACTTTTTTTTTTACAAACTTAGACTGACTTAGACTTACAGATTTACTTTGATGCATCATGATTTTTCTAACCAGTCCGTCTTTGTATTCTTTATTTTTTTTTCTTTTTTCTTATTTAGTGGGAGAAATTCCTTTCAGTGGAACTGCTGAATCAGTGGTCATGTGTATTTTAAATTTTGATAGCTATTAGATATACATATTAATGCATAGAAAAGTAGTCAATGAGAAAAAATTATTGTTAAAAAAATTCTGTGTCAATATTTTAACGGAATATTTCAAAATTCTGTTTCAGTCCTTCTGTTCTGTATATTGAGACATGTAGCACAAATGTTGTTACTAATGAAATGAAAGTAATCATTTTTATTTCTAGGCATTCTTACGTAGTATGAATTTTGAAAGGGGACCAAGAAGTCAAGAAGCTTAACTTGTCTGAGGTCTCAACAAGACTAAACAAATACTGATCATGATGGGCTGTTTCTCATTCTAAAATTGAAAGTTTATGTAGGGGTATATAGGCTCTTTTCTTTGGTTGTGTATCATTTTTTCATACCAGCCTGCTTGTTTTCACATTGTGCTTTCTATTTTATGACCCAGGACCCAGTATGTTATATTGTATTGAAAACACTTCTGGCCCCAATAAGAATAGATGAAAACCAGATGTTACCCTTTTTGGATGCGTTTCCAATTTAGGTAATCTGCTACTGACTCTAATAAAGATTCTTTTAAGCTACTTAAATACACAGTCTAACAGACCAACTTACAAAATCAACTTGTTATGAACATTTGGGGATACTACTTAATCTTATTTTCATATTTCTGAATATAGATATTCAGGGACCCAAGATATGAGGGAGAATTTTAGAGTCCTATTGATACTAATTGTAATTCTCTACATGTTTTTGAACACTTCTTGTGTTAGGTAATGTTAGCCTGTTTTCGTAGTGTGTGCATTTAAGAAAATTTTTGATACATCATTGATAGTGCTACTGAAGAAATACTTTTGCCTTTTATGGAAAAAAAAAAAAAACAACTTTGAAGAGTTATTTTTGATTCTTCCCTATACCAAGGTCATTCTCTTCAAAAGTTTTCCCTGTTTCTTATATCAAAACAAATATTTTTTCTTCCATTTATTTCTGCATTTGAAGAGCATTTTTAATTGTACTCCAGATACTTTTTCCCACCACTACCAACCAAACTGATCTGAATTCTCCTTCCATACTGAATTACTTACAACGGTACTTTCTCTATGTGACTCTTTTCTTCACAAATGTGTTGTTTTCTTCATGAATATGTAGTACTCTCCTTTACACACTTGTCTTAGTCTGGTTTCCCTAGAAGCAGAGCCTGGGATGGGGATTCTTGTATGAGTTGTACATTAAGGGAGTCCTTTCAAATGTTACTTGCAAGAAAGTGAGGGAAATAGAATTGAGAAGCAGAAGAAGCTGAGACGAGCAAAGATGTGATTTCATGGGATGTCTAGCTTCACTTCATCTATCCAGATCTGAGTCCTCTGCTCAGAAGTAGGATTGGGAGGCAGAAAAAACTGAGATGAACAAAGATGTGATCTCAGGGGATGTCTAGCCATACTTGATCCACCAGGGAAGTAGAGAACAAAATTGCACCTTAGAATCTGTTTTGCTTCAAGGTAGGGGGGACTGGGCTTTTGTGTTCCTTCCCCTGCATTTGTTAGTTATTGGCTATGAGCTGTCCTGGAAGTGTGTGTGTGTGAGGGAGCAGGGAAGAGGGCTGGGAGGTAACTTGTATTGCTTTCACAGAAAGTTGCTGATGTGAAGCTTTAGCAGCAATGCAGTGAGCACCTGGAAGATGGGTGTACCAAAACCGTAAGAGGGTTCTGGGGGGTCCAGGCTGGGCACCAACAGCATGTGCTATGAGATTCTATCCAGACCTGGGTCCTCTGCTCAGAACATTATGTTCTCTATAACGTAGTCCCACACAATTTGTCCTCTCCAGATTACCACTGTTCATCATTGAATGCTCTCTATTCTATTTCAAATAGATTTGGAATAGGTTTCTCACTGTCCCGCACGTGCCTTGAGGCCCTCTCATGAAATTCATTTCATCTGCAATGCCCATTACCTGTTCACTGCGAATACATGCCTTCACATCCACCAGATCCATATCAAAACTAGTCTTCTGCCCACAGTGTTTTCTTACTATTGCACCTCATTCATTTTGTCCCCCTCTGAAGTTGTGTGAAACTGTTTATACCATTCAGTTCAGCATTTAATTGTACAACAGGTGTAATCAGGAATAACAAGGCTAATTCCATGAGTCATTTACAAATAAACCTAATTAGTTAATAGTCATACCTAATACTACCTATTTTATTAACTGATTTACTTCATGTAAATTAGTCTACTTTCTCCAACAAGACTTCTTGAAAGCAAAGACCAGGCACTATTTGTATTGGACAACATCTTGTATAGATTTGTGTTTTAGATATCTAATAAGTAATTATTTGATCGACACCAGCATTATTTCCCAAACTTGGAATCATTTATTTATTCCACAGATATTTATAGAACTTTTAGTATGTACCAGGCATTGATATAGATGCTGAGGTACTTGCAGTGAGCAGAAATCCCTGCCTTAATAGTACTGACATTTGAGTGGGCAGAGACAGACAATAAACAAGTAAGCAGAATGTTTAGTATATCATGTGGTGATAAGTGTTACGGGGAAAAATAAAGCATATAAGTGAGATAGAGAGTGCAGAAATAGTGAATTGCAATTTAAAATAGAGTGTCAAGGAAAGCCACAGTGATATTTGCAAACTATGCATCCAACAATGAATTAAAATCCAGAATATACAAAGAACTTAAACAATTTAACAGTAAAAAAACAAGTAACCCAATTTAAGAATGGGCAAAGGGGCTGAATACACATTTCTTGATATGCAAATAGCCAACAGATATATAAAAAAAGTGCTCTACATCACTAAGCATCAGGAGAGTGCAAATCAAAACCATAGTGAAATATCATTTCACTGTTAGACTGGCTATTACCAAAAAGACACAGAATAACAAATGCCTGTGAAGATGCAGAGAAAGAGGAACCCTCCTATACTGTTGGTTGGACTATAAATCGGTACAGCCATTATGGAAAATGGTATGGAGTTTCCTCAAATAGCTATAGATTGAACAGCCATCTAATCCAGCAATTCCACTGCTGGACGTATACACAAAGGAACAGAAATCATCATGTCAAAAGGATACCTATACTACCATGTTTATTGCAGCTCTGTTTTACAATAGCTAAGAGTTGGAACCAATCTAAATGTCTATTGACAGATGACTGGATAAGGAAAATGTGATATATATACACAATAGAATACTACTCTGCCATAAAAAAGAATGAAATTCTGTCATTTGCAGCAACATGGATGAACTTAGAGAAAATTATGTTAAGTGAAATAAGCCAGGAACAAAAAGAGGAATACCGCATGTCCTCACTTGTAAGTGGGAGCTAAAAACATCAATAAAAAAAGAAAGAAGGAAAGATGCAACAATCACAGTAATTCATTGAACTTTCAAAAGAAGAGAGCAGAACTAAGGCCACTAGAGGTAAGAAAGGGGGAGCCAGAAGGGGGCATAAGTGAGAAATTGGTAAAGGGCTGTAAAAAATGATTACATTGTGTAATATTAAATGTGCTGACTATCCTGATTTGAGCACCACATATTGCACACAGGTGTTGATGTTCAATGCTGTGCCCCACAGATATGTGCAATCAATTATGTTTCAATAAGAAAAAGGAAGAAAGAAAGTAAGCCACAGCAAGAAGGTTATTGGATATCTGGAGCATGAATGTCCCAGGAAGAGGGAAGAGTCAGTGTGGTGGCCTCCGTC